AGTATTCCTTTTGTAAAAACCCTAGAACAACTATCTTAACATGAACTGTTTTATAAAACAGGGGCCAACTCTTTGTTAATATAAACTGCTGGTATCCCATTATAAGGGTGGCTTTAATGTAAGAGCTAACAGTCTCCAAAGTGAGTCACAAACGGCCTTTGTCCGGTGTGGAGAGCAAGAGGGCTGTGTGTGGCCAGCACCTGACCGGACCCACGCTTCTTCAAGAATCACGGCCAGATTTGTTGCTCTTCCTTCGGTCCGCAACTTCCATTACCAGCCGCTCTTGCCAAAATTAACTGACTCCATGTGTGCGCATGCACGTGTGTGTGTGTGTGTGTGTGTGTGTGTAGAGATGCTGAAATCATGAGCCATTTTGTAGGAGTTAGTCAGAAGACAACAGCCAATATTCCCAGAAACTGAGTGGTCAGGTTTCCTTAAAAAATGTGCAGAGATTGTGTTTCTGGCAATGAGGGCTCAAGTTAAAAGCAAACAAAAATACCACAGAACATATAACAATTTGTTTTTTGAAGGATTTGTGATTCTGAATTTGGATCCAGTTCTCTCAAATACATGTTGAGCTTCTTGTGGAACATGGCTCTTTAATATACATACATATACACACACATTATATATAAATACAGAATCTTCATTTGCAGCTATTCAAAGAATTCGGGTGATAAACCCTTTATTGATTACTTCCGAATTAACTCAGTGGGGGCAATTTGGCAATGAGTAGAGATCAGAGGAGAAAGACGGTTTCATGAAAGTCACCTGAAATAATCCACCCAGCTGGTGGATGAAACGCATGGAAGTAAAGACAGGCTTACACTCCTCGATGTTTTCAACCATGCCTTTTTCTGTGCCTGGGATGTCACTATGGCTCAGTCTGGGGCAAGAGAAATTGTCCCCCGTTGTGGGAATGGCAGGGATAAGCCCCAGCCTGGCCCTAGGTGTGTCTGGGTCTCTGTGGGCTGCCGAATGCCCGTCTCTTTCCTGAGCACCGTGGGAGACACTGCACTCTGCGTAAGGAGTTGAAGGTCAGGCGGGGGGACATCCGTAGAGAACAAATGTATCCTTTATCTGTGTACAGAATTCTAAGCGTACAGATACGTGGGCTGGGTTTATTAGGGAGGGCTTCTCAGTGAAGTTGAGGACGTGATTTTGCCTCGATGGCCAGGTCACCTCATCTGGCCACTCCAGGGAGTCCGCCATTCCTTGAACCTCTGTTTGCGGGCACATCGGGCCCTGATGTGCAACAGGGGAGAGAGAAGGAGACAGTCCAGTGACCGGGAGAGGGCGAGGAGGTTATTGTACGCAACCAATAACATAGCCTCAAAACAAGCTGAACGAGAACTGACAGAAATAGAAAGACAGAAAATTCCATAATCAAAGAGGTAGATATGACCACATCTCTCCCTCTGATTAGCTGACAAAATGAATTAGTAGAAGATCTGAAGATGACAGTTAATAACTGTGATCTGATAAACCCACGTTTGCCCAGGTGCCGCGGGCATGGCTCTTAGCTGCATGCTCTTTTTTCCTTTTTTCACTTTTTTTCCTTCAAGGATTTCAGAAATTGATGCAGAGGACCGGGGGAAGGTTGTGCTGAGACGTATCTGACGTGATGGCCTGCTTTCTTTCCCCCTGGATTTCGTTCCTTCATTCATCTTTCTTTCCTGGAGAAAATGTCAAGTCCAGTTTGGTTCCTTGTTCCCTCCTTCTCCTCTTCAATCACGCTGTTTAGGTTGCTGTTACGTGCTAGGCTTTGGGAATGCCCACGTAAGCAAGGCATAGCCCCGTCTCTGAAAGCAAGCCCCGCTGAGGAGAAGAGACCCGTGGGTGTATGGGGCACGTGAGGGACGTGTGTCTGGCTGCGGCCGAGGGCAGGGGAGCCGAGCCGTGCCCCGCCTGGGGGACAGAGCCCGCTTCCAGGGCGCACGAGACAGAGGCTGAGGCTTGCAGGACAAGCCCGATCCAGCAAGCCCCATCCATCCCTGAAGCCACAGTTCACATGCCTTTTTGAAGAAAAGCCTTTTCCAGAGAGAGGTTTCTGCAGGTTATGTTTTGGGAGGTTCAGCCTTCTGGTGCGGGATGAGGGGCTTACACGTTCCCGGTTCGTTTGCGTGACTGTCGCGTGAGCGTTCTCTGTGTAGGGCTGTCGTCCCGGGAAGGGGCGCACACGTGCTTCCTGCCTGCTCTGGGAGAAGCTGCCTGGACCCCTCACGGTCCGCGATCCTGCTTTGCACGGTAGCCCAGAGGCCTTGTTCTGTGCATGTTCTGGACGAGGACGTCAGGCCCAAGTCCGCACCGCTCAGGCTCACCTGGGGAGGGGGCCGTAGAATGAGGGTTGAAACCCCATTTCTGTCCGACACACGAGGCCAGGACATTGCCCGTGTCGTCCTCTTTTCCTAGAGAAGAGACAGACTCCTGTCCTTAGACCAAATAAGAACTTGCCTCGTCCCCTGAAGATCTGGTAACGCCACGGGGGAGGCGTGGGAACAAAGGCCGACACAGAGCCGCAGGAGTGGAGTCGGCGTGGACAGAGACTCGCATCCAGAAGGCCCAGGCCACTGGGTGGATGTCTCTCTGATGACACTTTCCCTCCTCAAAATCGACAGGGAGAACAACGTGGCAGCAAGCTCTCTGGGCTTTTCTTTCTTTTCCCTTTGTCCTGTTTTCGTCTCAAATGTGGACTGTGCTCTGTAGCTTTCTTGTAAAACAGCTGAGCAGCAAAGTGGCTGCAGACGCCGTCCTGGGCTCCCGTCGGTTCCTGGCGCTAATCCCAACAGTGGCACCAGCCAGTGACTTTGGGCACGTCTGCTGAGATCGTATTGCAAAGCTGCTACCCAGGTATCTGGGACTTGGGCATTTCAGTTCTGCCCCGAAGACGCATGGGTGGGACGCAGCTTCGTTCCAAAAAGAATAGAAGACATTTTGAGGGAACTGCCTAACTTCTCCCTTGCTAGCACGCACATTCCGCCGACCCGGGTCCCGCTCTGTCCCGTTCACTGCATATCCCCAGTGATCAGAACCACTCCTGCTCAGGACAGGAGCTCAGTGGGGGACAGTGGGGACAGTGGGTGACCTTGGGGGTGCTGTGAGCACCGGCAGGGCCAGGGATCACTACCTACATGCCGTGGACCCCCCACGCCTGTCAGTCTCGGGCGGGATCGTTTCTGAGCCCTCGGCATCACTGGTGAGGACTCTCCGTGGTGACGGTGTTGGGGACCAGAGCAGCTACACATGCCAGGTGTTGGCTTAGGCACTTTGCATAGAGGGTCTCATTTTCTCTGGATGTCACCATCCTGACATAGCAGGACAGGTCATCCGGACACTCCTTCCCTTGCTGGTGAGGAAACAGAGGCTCAGCAAGGTTGGGCCTTTGAACCAGCCGCTGATGTTCTGGGCTCGCCTTTCACTGAGGAGGCAGAACAGGCCGGACAGGAGCGTCCTCAGACTCCCGCCACCAAACACCCTGGCCTTCTCCAGATCCCACCCCCTGCCGCCTCTGGAAATCCCTCCTCTGCTCATCTCTTCCCCGGGAGCCCCTCTAGTCACCCCCACCCCCCCGTCCCTCCCCTGCAGCAGAGGGGCTTCTCAGAGGTGCCCCTGCACCGACGGGCTGCTTCTCCCTCCTCCTCCCTGCTCCTGGGAGGGAGCAGCTGCACCCTCCTGGTTTGCCCCCGCTTCCCTGGCCATTCAGGCTCATTCCTGCACCGGCCTCTCCCCCTTGGCTCTGCTCCACGTACCGACCGGCTCTGGTCCGTCCTTGTCTTGGACCTGCGTTCTGCTCTGTCTGCCCTCCCTCTGGAGACTCAGCCCCTCCCGGCTGGGCTGTGAGCGAGCCTCTTCTCCCCTGACTGCCTAGCTTAGTTCCAGCTCTGCCTGGAAGCTTGCTTTGCTCCGCACTCACCTGCCTTGCTTCTCCCCCTCCTGCTGCTTCTGTCTGCCTCCTCCTTCTGAATGGCAGCACCCAGCTGCCTTGGAGGTGGTGCTTCTCTCCTGCTCCGCCTATTCTTCTCTGGAATCCTCTGCACGCCACTGGTTCGCTCCCTCCTGCCATCGCCCCAGCCCACACTGCCCCCCTCTGTCCCCCGGGCCACTACAGGACGGCCTGACTCCTTTCCTTCTAGTTCTTGTCTGCTGTCCTCCCTCAACAGCACCAGTGCTGTCTGCGGCTTCTGACAGTGGCGTGCCCTCCACGTCTCAGGCACTGTCTCAGGCCACGTACGTCCCACAGGTAGGACCACTGCGTCTGCTCTGCAGGCGGGAGGACTGGAGCACTGAGCAGTTAATTAAATTTGCCCAAGGTGAAGGCCGGGGTGAAAGCCCAGGCGGTGGAGCTCTACAGCCCGTGCTCCTGGCTTCTGTACTGTACTGCCTCCCAGAAAGTCACTCCTGTCGCTCCAGGGCTCGAGCTGCTCACCGGGCCTGTGTGACCCTCCTGGTGGCCTGCCCCTATCTCCTGCCCCACGACGCCAGGTGGTATCCTTAAGCACTTCACGTCCACCACAGGGCCTTTGCCCCAGCTGGCCCCTCTGCCTGGAAGCCTTTTGCACCGGTTCCTCATGTGGCTGCGTCGTCCTGGGCTTTTGGCTCCCAGCCTACCTGTCATCCCAGGGAGGCCTCTTGATCTTGTCAACTAGCCGTTCCCTTTTCCTTAAACACGACCTTCCAGCCTTTGTAGCACTGACTGCTGTCTTACTTCACCTTCGTGCTTGGGCGGTAGTGTCCACTGTGATATCTAGCTTACGCTGGGACGCACGCCCCATGAAGGCAAGGCGTTGCGTTCTCCCCGTATCCTAAAGCCTGTTAGTATCGGGATCGGAGAGACATTCGGTGCGTGAACGAGTGAACTAGTGAAGGAAGGAGCGCCTGGCATCTTGGGACTTAAACCAGGTGCTTTTGGGCCCACAGATTTTCCCACCGCACCATACGCCGGCCGGTTCCTGCCGGCTTCGGCCTCCAAGAGCCCTCAGGCATGTCTGTGCTTCTTGTAGGTGATCCGAGATGTCTACAGCGGCTGCAGTGGGCCGGCGGATTTAGAAGGTCCTCCCCCGTCGATCTCTCCAGTGCACAAGACAGAGCTCGAGAAGGTAAGGGCGTCTTTCTTCCCAGGAATAGTGCCCTTGCAGCTGATTTAGGCCTCCCTCAATGTTCTGATAACATTCTCTGAGAGAACTTTTTTGTCTGTTCTTGTTTTAGTCCGAGGTCTCCAGGAAGCAGAACGGATAGGGCGTGCACGCGTGTGTGTGTCTGTGTTATCAAGTATATAGAATTAAGTGTAAAATGTTAAATACATTGCAAAGTTATGTAAGTATGTATACAGATACACACAAGTACACATATATGCACACATACAAAGAGATTTATTTTTTTAAAGATTTTATTTATTTATGAGAGCAGGAGCAGGGCGAGGGGCAGAGGGAGAAGCATACTCTCCACTGAGCAGGGAGCCTGACGTGGGCTCGCTCTTAGGACCCTGGGATCATGACCTGAGCCGAAGGCAGACGCTTCACCAACTGAGCCACCCAGGCGCCCCTGAAGAGATTTATTATAAGGAATTGGCTTATGTGATGATGGGGGCTGACAAGTCTGAAATCTACCCTGTAGGTCTGCGGGCTGGAGACCCAGGGGAGCCAGTGGTGCAGATGAAGTCTGCAGGCAGGCTTCTGGAGAATCTCCTCTTGTGGGGGAAGGCGGGTCTTTTTGTTCTAGCCTCCGGCTTCGCCTGATTGGGTGAGGCCCACCCGCATTGTAGCAGGCAGCCTGCTTACTCGCAGTCCGCTGATTTCAGGCCCATCTTCCTTCTTCAGACAGTTTAAAGCAGCACAGTCCTTGGCATCTCGCACACGAGTCTTCGCTGTGTCTCTGTTACCTGAGAAGAGACTCCCAGGAGTTGGTTTACTAGACCAAACGGTAGAAATATTTCTTAGGATTTTGACTCATGCTGCTGAGCACACCGCTTGCCAGGCAGGCTGCCCCCATAGCCCTTTGCTGAGCGCGTCAGGGCTCCCGTTCCCCCACGGGCACTGGCCGTTTTGATCTCTGGTCCCTAAGGCTGTCCTGTTAGCGCCTGGCCAGGCTCCCCCCGTGGCGCTGGACTATGATGTGCAGGACTGGGAGGGGTGAGTTCAAGTCCACCTCCTCCACCCTGATGCCACAGTTTTCCCGCCAGAACGAAGGATTCCAGCTCTAAGCAGCATCTCTTCTTCAGATGCCGGCTCAGGGTCCCAATCATGCTCCTTATATCCAGATATCAGGGCTAAAATAATCCCAAGCACTCGGGCGTGCCCTTGGACGGTTTCAGCCGTAGCTTTTCTCTGCATATATATTTGGAGGGTGTCTGTTACGGCAGATGTATGACCTCACCCAATTACTGGTTGGCAACAGGAGGGAATTGAGCGGACGATGGGCTCTCTACTTCTGGAAGGATAACATGGCTTGGTGAGGGGCATATTTTTTGCAATCTTAATATTTTTTTCAAAATTACTTGCAAGTAAAAGTGATTTGGATGCGATGGGGTATCAGAGTGTGTGTGGGTAGCACCTCCGAGAGTTTGTTCTCCGTTCCTCTGCTATTTCTGAAGCTTTAGCAGCAAGCCGGCCGGCAGCTGGTCTGTACCTGAGCTCTGGCCTCCCAGCACTGCCGTGGACTTGGCCACACTTCCTTCCACCCTGGGGATCACTGTGAACTGATCCCTGAAACATCACGCGGCCGTTAACGAACCATGGTGGGAATAACTTAATCCTTTTTACCCTCATAGAAGCTGTCTTCTGAGAGACCCAGCTCAGACGGGGAGGGCGTTATGGAGAATGGAGTCGCTGTGTGTGAAGGAAAAGAACAAGGTGAGTTCTGCTCGTGGCCCAAACCACAAACACCGAAACACAAAAACAAGAGTAAACAACAAAAGTCAGCCGTGGCCAGCTCCGTGGGCACTGATTGTGTGACAAGTCTCCTTGGAAGTTCAGTGACGTAGACGGCCCGGCCCAGGTTGCACATGGGAAGTGCAGAGAGACCCTTTTGGTTGATGGGAGCCCCACATGTCTTCACCCGCCGTCCTACTGAACCCTGGCCCCGGGCGTGGGCGCCCTGCATATATCCTGACTCCTGGGCTGCCGGCAGCTCATTTCCTTACGTGATCTATCGCTGACAGGAATTCGCAGTGGGGAGAGCTGGTTGTCACGTGGTAGCAGGTGTCAGAATGTCCTTCCTTTTAAGGCTGAATAAGATTCTGTCCTCTGGATGAACCACATTGTGTTTATCTGTCCATCCATCAGTGGGCCCTTGGGTTCTCCCACGTTCTGGCCATTGTGGATGCTGCTGCTATGAACATGGGCTTTCGGATTGTCAATTATTTTTTTCTAAGTCAGCTTTCCAAGCATAAATTATGACCATTTTAATGGGTATATAGTGCTCTGTAATTGTGGCTTTAATTTGCATTTCCCTAAAGACTAACGACGTTGAACCTTTTTTAATGTGCTTTTTTGCCAACCATGTATCTGATGAAATGTCTGTCCAAATCTTTGCCCATATTTTTATTGGATTTTGTTCATATTTACTGAGTTCTGAGAGCCCTTGATATATTTTGAATACAAGTCCTTTATCAGTGTGTCTTGCTTCTCCCAGTCCATGGCTTGACTTCCACTTTCCTTCCCAGGGTGTGGGCCAAGAGGAAGGTAGGAGTTGCGGGTCGTGGGGGAGTTTTCTTTGTGCAAAGTCAACAGTCTATATGCTCGTGGCCCTGGGACCTTGGCTTCCCAGGGGAGCAGTCTGCCCACCCAGCTCATCTGTGCTCTCTTGCTAGAATGGAACAGATACCCCCCCAGCTCTGAAATGAGGTCCCCTTCAACCAGACAGCAAGCCAGGCCACTAAGAATCTTGAAATCCAAGTAAGCTGGACTCTTGTGACATGACAAGGTTCACCCTGAAAGGTCATGGTCTCTGCCTTTGCCCGTGTGATTCCCTAATGCGGTCGTGTCCGAGTGCAATTTCTGCTGTCTCCATCGGAAGTTAGGGGAAGGCGTCATCTGTGTCTTCCGTGGGCACATAGTGTATAATCAAAGCCAGGAAAGCCGTCTTTAAGTTTTGCCCTGAAACAGAATAACCTACAGTCTCAGGTCCCTGCTCAGACGTGGGGCACGGCAGACACGGCTTCAGCCAGTCTCCTTCCTTACCTGCCATTTCTGCCCCGGCGCCCTGCTGGCAGTCAGGTTCACAGAAGAATACAGATGTCTGGAGGTCTGTGTCAGGGAATGCGCCTCTACCTAGAATTCCCCTGCTTCCTTTTCACAAGGAAGGTGACCCCGGGCTCACAAGTGTTCTGCTTTGCGTCTCGCAGACACTAAATCATCGCTCAAGGAAGTGGATAGTTTAAGTACATCCTTACTTCGACCTTAGCTTCTATCCCCGCTGCTCACTCTCGAGCTCTTTGCCGTGAGAGATTTCAGCATGGCTCCCCTCCTCCCAGCCATGTTGTGACTCCGATTCTCTGCGGGCTACGCGGTAGTGTCCGCACTGATGATGGTTGCGGCCCTACAGATGCTGGGAGTGAGCTTTGCCTCGGTGGCCCGCCCTCCCTGCCCGCCATGCGCTCGTGGGGTATGATGTTTGGACCCCTGTGGCTTTCCTGCGCTCTCACTTCAGTTGAGAGTTTTGAGTTTTGGGGGTTTCTTCATAATTTTATTGCATGTTCCGATTTCTGCCTTTGTGTAGTAAAATAGCATGACGTATTCTCAAGTTCCTCCATACTTTGGCTTTTTCTTCCAAGGAGTCCCTTGCTTCTGCTTTTGCAAAAAATTAATCGGGGCTCCTTCTAGGAATTAAAAGTATGATCTCTTTTCTTTGTAGTCAGGGTCCCGCAGGTGCTTTCCCAACAGGAGCACATGCGAGTAGAATTGGAAGTAAACGTAACCTCTTTGCTTTGAGCCAGGGGGAAGAGCTCTGCGTGCCCCGCGAGCTCTGTGAAAGGGGGCCTTCAGGGCACTCTGGGAGTGCCACCCTTGCAAAGCTTAGCTCGAATGGGACTGTGGTCCCAGATTGGTCTCACCGCTCTCTCGAAACAGCTAAGAGGGGCCATGCACGGCTGCTTTCACTTTGGTGTGGCCATGCTGCAGACCGCCATGCCTGGTGGTAACTGGGGGAAAGCGGCCTTCCCGCTAAGATTACAATGGGTTCTTGGGGCTTTCTCTGAAAAGAGGGGGTGGTGGGTGTTGGGAGAGTGTAAGGAGAGGTGGGAGTGGCTTTCCTGCGTTCCCGCTTCTGTATCACACAAGGCCTTCACAAGACACCCCAGTCTGGGCCCTTAAACAACAGACGTTTATTTGTCATGGTTCGGCCGGCCAGGAGCCCCGGAGGGTGCTGCCGTCAGAGCTGGTTGCCTGGGAGGCCTCTTCCTGGGCTGCGGACGGCCGCCTCCCCCCGTGTCCTCATGTCGATGGCCTTTCTTCTGTGTTCGGTCTCTTAAAAAGGACACTCATTCTGCCAGATCAGTGCCCTACCCTTAATGACCTCCTGGGACCCCATCACCAAATACAGCCACGCTGGGGTTAGGGCTTCAAAGCAGAGACGGTCGGGGGCACCTCATTCAGTCTGGAAAAAACACTGTGTTTACCCAGAAATTTGGCATGGCTTCTTTTCTTTCAACTGTTGTTTCTAGAGAGGCAATAAGGGTCAAAACCAAGTGACTGAGCTCGGGGTGTGGGTCTGTGGGGCCAGGGAACACACTGGGGTGGGATAGGGGTGTGGGCCTGCACCTGGGACCCTGCCGGTGGTGGCAGAGTGGGACAGGAAGGGGGAGGACTTCCCCACCCGCCAAGAGAGAATGAGTCATCGGTATCACAGGGGGCTTTAGGAATGAGGCCCCGGGCTTGTAATCCCACGTCCCGAGTCCCCTCTCTCTGAAATTATCCTGTGGCTATTTATGGTGTGTGCTTGCGCTGGGCTGAGCAGGAGGGGAAGGAATTCCTGCCTCATGACATTTTCAAAAGGGGTTATGACCCCCTGTGGGTTATAGACTGGGTGGTGGGAGTCACCCTGGAGATGGGGACACCAGGAGGGTTATTGGAGGCTGTGGAGCCCCTCTCTCATCCCACCCCACTCCGTTGTGAAGCTGCACTTGACCCTCCCAGCGCCCCAGTGTCCTGTGCAGTCTGGAAAGTTGCCTTTTCCCCTTTGGCTCCAAGACCAGGCACATCATGGCCCTCAGGTGATGGAATGAGTGACATGTCCCTTTGCAGAGTTGCTGTGGGAGGAAGGATCTTGTCTCCGAGTCCTGGGTGCGCTCTCTCACACACCTCTGATCCCACGAAATCCCAGAAGGGGGTCCAGAGTTGCCAGATCTTCCAGTTTCCCAGAGGAAGCCAGAAATTGTTTTGAGGCACGGTATTTGTGAATTTGATATATTGGGCATGACTTCATAGTTTAATACCCTGCAGGCAAAAGCAGACCGTAATGGGCCGAGAGTTCTGGAGAGTGCAGAGCTACGTTCACATCTCAGGGATGGGTGAGGGGCTGCTTAAGGGCTTCCTGGGACTGGGGAAGACCCGCCTCCCCCCCTTCCCCTCCCCCGTCCCCTCCCCAAGCTGGCCAAGGTCTGGCCACACTGACTCTGTTCCTCACACCCGTCCAGCTCCCCCCAGCCTCATGGCCTTTGTGTTGGCTGAAGCTCTTCTTGCCCAGAAGGTTCTTCTTTGGGTTCTTCACAGCCGCTTCCTCATCACCCAGCTCCTGGCTCAAAGTCGCCCTCCCCGGAAGGCTTCCCCCGCCACCCAGTACCTCTGCCATGTCACCCCACTGTAGCTCCCTGCCCGGGCCTGGTGCCATCGGGCCACCTCCGTGTGTGCACGTGTATACATGTGTGTGTGCATGTTCTCAGCCTACTTTAGAACAGGAGATCCCTCAGGACACCTGTGTTTTGCCGTCTTCTGTCAACACCAATAGCTGGCACAGAGAAGGTGCTCAATGTGTAAAAAATGAGGAAAATAAAATTGACTATGATTTATGCTTTATTTTTATTTTTTCTCAGCTAAAGTCTATCATTGAAACACACTTTCTTGTTTTCATTGTTCTTGACAGTTAAGAGGAAGAAGAGTTCCAAATCAGAGGCCAAGGGAACCGTGTCCAAAGTCACTGGGAAGAAGATCACCAAGATCATCGGCTTGGGGAAGAAAAAGCCCTCGACAGATGAGCAGACCTCATCCGCGGAGGAGGACGTCCCCACCTGCGGTAAGACAGAGGGTGCCTGGCCGTGAGCAGTGCCCACCTGGCACGTGGCCTCTTCTAGAGGGGCCTCTGCTTCGCGTGGGCTCGCACAAGTCAGGCTGGTGATCCTCAGAATGGCGGGAGAGGTACTCCATCTTGACTGCTTATTAATAAAAGATCTCGCAGGGGTTTGACATGATCTCTGAGGTTCTTTCAAGATGAAAAACAAATTCTTTCTTTGATCCTATGACGTGCTCCCACCTTCCTTTTAACCATTTCGAAGCTGGGGCACACGCACGTACCTTGGCGAGCGAAGGAAGGAGCGCGGAGCGTGTGGGGTTACAGTTGGCGCTCTCCCCTGGGCTGACACGGTAAACCAGCCATCCTGCCAGCACTGCGTGTCTCAGACCTCAGTTTCAAGGGCAGCCTGCTGGACCACTCCATCGTCAGTCTGCCACCTGGAGTCCTTTCCGAGCAGCTGCCCCCAGCAGCACGGGGTAGGCGCCCACGACGCGGCTCCAGCCCTCCCAGGGCTTCCGCTTACGTGGCAGGGACGGGTCTGAAGGAGCAGTCTCAGGGAGAGACGTGCAGTGGGACCCGGTGACTAAGAGGGGGGAAACCAGGGCATCGGGAGCATCTCCAGGGACCCGAGTGAGGTGGCGGTGCGGGCGGGGTGGCTGCTGTGGAGGCGTGGAGGGTGAGGCCGCAGAGCCGTACCGCTTCCTCGGCCGCCGTGCAGCCCTTCGCGGGAGAACAGCCCCGGAAGCCGGGCGATGGGGCTTCGGCCTCCGTTAGGAATTGAGGACGGGCTATAGGTGCCCAATGTCCTGTCAGCAGGTCCCCAGTCGCTTCCCTCTGCGGACTCGCTCTGCTCACCCCTATGTGGCCGTGAGCATCCATCTGCCCAGGGGATGGGCCTTATCCGGGGGTACGCGGCCCCAAGTGTCCAAAGTTGGTCATACAGACAATGATGAAGTAATTCACCAGCCCTCATGTCCCAGGATGTGAGCTGTGCCCGGACGACAGGAAGAGTCCCAGCCCTCATGTCCCAGGATGTGAGCTGTGCCCGGACCACAGGAAGAGTCGGCACTGCGGCGGGCAGTTGGGGCGGGTCGCAGAGGGGATGGGTGCCTGGGCATGCAGGAGCCAGGCTCGTGCTGCGTCCTGAGGGCAGGTCCGGGGGAGGTCCCAGCTCACTCTGGCCTTGACGGTTGTGCTTCTAGGAAGCCCCACGTGAGACTTCAGTGGGCCCGGTAGAGTCACGTCCTTCGTCAAGCCTTGGCCACCCTGGGTCGGGGTGCACCGAGGGGCAGAACGACAGCAGACCACACAAAGCTCTAGCACCGAGGGGCAGAAGGAAAAACATGAATCTGTTGATGCCAAGGTGCTATTTCCTGTCCGCCTCTGCCTTCCTTGGTGCAGCAAGAAGCACTGGGTGGTGTGGGGTTGTTTCTCCTTTTGGGTTGGCCCTGCAGAAGAGTTAGGGATTAAAAATGGAAAGAGGGAATTATCCAACAAAGGGAACACCTTTTTTAGCTTCTTTTTTGGCTTTTTTTTTTTTTTTAGGTTTATTTATTTGAGAGAATGCGTGCATGAGCGGGAGAGGGGCAGAGGGAGAGGGAGAGAGGCTCTCTGGCAGACTCCCTGCTGAGTGTGGAGCCTGGCGTGGAGCTCGATATTAGGACCCTGAGATCATGACCTGAGCTGAAAACCAAGAGTCAGACACTTAACTGACTGAGCCACCCAGGAGCCCCTCGTTTTTGGCATTTAAACTGCTCTAGGTCAGCAGAAGAAGTAGAAATTCTTTCATGAAAAGCAACATTCATGTGGAAGGCAAGGTAGACACTGGGGTCCAGACCCTCGTTACAAACCAGAACACTGAGCCCCACAAGCTGACCCAGCTCTGCCCCTGCCTTCTGCATCTGCCCGCTCGTAACCCCTCGTAAACAGCCTCCCTGTGTTGGTGCTCAGGCCCTGCAGGAAATCCTGTTGCTGGCACTTTTTCAGAAACACAGTTGGCTGCTCCGAGGGCAGGAAGGGGGGAATCTGGAGCCTATAATTACACATGTGTGGATTTCTACCAAACAGCTCAGGGGACATCTTTTGCCTCTATTAAGAGAACTTCCTCTGTCCACAAGATTTTAAGACTGTCACCTAGGTCTTCGCTGGGTGCAGGGGCCAGAGAAGGGGCCCACAGAGGAAGGACGGGGGCGGGGGGATGACTGTTCTCAGTGATTTTGGTACAGCTGCAAAGTTGTAGGCAGAAAAGGTCAGCTGGGTAAAGGCCCGAGACACCCACCGTGCCAAGCTGGGGCCACGCAGCCCCAGTCCCTCTGCTGTGAGCATAGCCACGCGGGCTGGGCCGGCGGGGCCATGCTGCTGGGCAGGCAGAAGAGAGCTTCCGGGAGCAACCAAGACCTGGGTTCAAATCCACTCTTCCCTGAAGTGTGGCAGCTGCGCCTCCAGATGCATGATAAAAACCCTGTTGGGGGTAGGAGATGGTTTCTGCAGACACCCCCAAGGGGAGCAGGGAGGGGCGGTGAGCCCCCCAGCCAGCCCTGTAGCACCACTCCTTCCTGCCCCGACGCCCAGCGGTGATGGGGGCGTCAGCGGGGTGAGCGCTGCGCACACCGTGGTCTGAGATGTACACCAGACCCCAGAAGGATCTTCTGTTTGCCCTTCTCTGGTGCTTACGAGAGTCTCTATAAACCCAGCGGTCGTTGTCAGGAGACGTGTGTCCTCTCGCTCTCTGCCGGCCTGTCCCCTGCTGGGCCAGCGCACCAGTGTCCTGACTGGCCGCCTTCTCTGCACCCTCCAGGCCACCGGGGGGAGCTGCGAAAACAGAGTCCTAGGCTGAAACACGAATCTCTGTGCGGCTCAGCTCAGAGCCTTTGACAGTCTCGTCTCAGCCCAGTTCTGCAGCTGTCTCCCGCCTTCCGGGATGAGACTCAGAACTACCTTGCGCCCCAGCCATGCCCCAGCCGCGCCCCAGCACCCAGCAGCACAGTGCCTGGCACACGAGCAGCTCCGCCAGTGAGCTGGCGGAACGACTTACCTTAAGCAAATTGCATTACCTCCCTGAGCCTCAGGTTCTTCCTCTGTGAAACGGGCTCATACTTACCTTGTTTTCCTAAGGAAACTGAAAGATAAAATCATGAACACTAAGCTCAGTGCTTAATAATTAAGTCATAATTTATGCTCAGTAAGAGGTTGCTCTTGTTACTCATTGGTTCACCTAATGTGCTTATTTTTAAGAAACCTGAGCACACAGACATAGTCCAGGCAATGTAAGGGCAGTGCCGGCGCGTGGCATGGGTCATGAGCACAGGAGCTGGGCGGAAGGAGCGGACCCAGGTCTCAGGTGGAGGTCTCCTTGAGGCAGCATAAGCTGAGCTAGCTTGAGGGCCTTGCTGGGTGATTCCAGGGCCCCTCCTAGCTCGACTGTTCTGTGACTTTGTGACATTTTCAGCAGGAGTGCGTTTCAGTGGCCATACAGGGAAGTTCTATACCTCTTACCTTCTATCACAATCTACCCAACAAAAAGTCAGGCGACTTCAATCAAGGGGGCGGAGAGCGTTCTGGGTATGAGTCACCGCCCTGGGGCATCCGCATCCTCGTTCCTGGGCACGTGCGCCTGTTGGAGGACAGGCCCCTAAGATGGTCAGATGGGGTTTGGGCACCGGGAGGGCTGGTTTCGGCCGGTGGCAGCATCGTGACCTTTGGTAACCCCGGCCCCTCTCTCCCCGGGATGTCTCCTCCCAGCTGATTATAAACGAAGGCCGCGGGTGGAACCAGCCGCCGCGCTGGGACGAGAGGCCTCTCAAGAGCGGCACCAGGGCCGGCGGGCGCCACGTTTCCCGCCCTGCAGAGGGGAGCTTGGTGGGCACTTGGCCCCGCTTCCGCCGGCTCCTCTGCAGCCGCTTGAACTTGGGAGCCCTGGTGCGGAGGCTGTAATGGGTCTCCAATGTTACTTTTACAGCTCTCATGAAACCTTGAGCCTCTTGCCATGGTTTTGCGAGAAATCGTAGAATTCAGAGCAGGAACCATCTCAAAACATCTAACTGACGTGCCCAAACTGCAAAGATACGGCAACATCTCACTTAACATGATGGGTGGAATCTAAAAAGAAATCAAATTGCATTGAAATCGTCTCATGCAGTTGGTGGAACTGCCCTGGGCGGGCGGGTGAGCCTGGGGTGGGGGGTGCGGTTCTCAGCAGAGGACCCCTGGAGGACCCGGCTGTCCCTGCAGTACGTTGGCCGGGCCGCACTCGGGCACCACCTGGTGGCAGCTGTGTGCTGCGGCCGAGCTATGCGCGGGGCCCATCGGCGTGAGTCTCCACCCACCCCATCAGAGAGTCAGGGGGCATGGGAACCTACCCTGTGACTGCAGATGCCTTCGATGGGCTGTCCGTCATTTCCCTGTGCTCCCCACCCCGAAGATGGGAATGTAAGGCCACCCCTCTCAGAGAGGAGCAGAGGGGAGTGAGCCTGGCGCTGGAGGCTGGTACCGTGGGCTTTCCTGTTTATAGAAACGGGCCGCTCATCCCCTGTGATTTTCTCTTTGCCTTTCCTTTTTGGGAACTGAAAATTAATCTGAGAAAGGCATTAAAACATGGTAATTTCCTATGATGTCATGCTCTAAATAAAACGAGGGTTTGTCCGATATAATCATTCCTTTTGTGACTCAGATGTCAAGAAATTCATAGCATTGGTGACTTTAGGCTGGGTTCAGTCAGAGAAGAAGATATCCCGAGAGTGCCTTGACCTGCTCCAGAGATGAGCATCCCCCTGGTTAGTGGAGCGTGCTCGGTAGCTGCCCCCTCTATACTGCGAAGGGCAGTGAGTGGCACTGAGCCAGAGTGGCCCCAAGTGCTGAGTTCTCTAGTAGAAAGTCCCGTGCAAGCTTACAAGGAACCTGGTCACTGTTATCAAGAAGTCAGCTATGCTCTTAGGTCTTATTGCTTAAATTCCTCAACAGAGGGGCGCCTGGGTGGCTCAGTCGGTGAAGCGTCTGCCTTTAGCTCAGGTCATGATCCCAGCGTCCTGGGATGGAGCCCCCCTTTGGGCTCCCTGCTCAGTGAGGAGCCTGTTTCTCCCTCTGCCTCCCACTCCCCCTGCTTGTGTGCTGTCTCTCTGACAAATAAATAAATAAAATCTTTTAAAAATAAAATAAAACAGCTTCAGGTCAGGCTTTGCTAGGTAGCCTGTACCCCGTCACACATCAGGAGTAACCTCCTTCCCCCGATTGGACCCCAGCCTCTCTTTTCCTCTGTGCACTCCCTCCTAAACTTACAAAATATAAGGAACTTGGGTCCCAGGCACTTGAGCCAATGGGCTGGCTTCTCCCCTTTTTCTCTTATTTTATAAATACAGCAACATAGGCCCCAAATGAAAGCTTTTGTTCCAGGAGAAGCAGCGCACTTGCATTTAGGGGTTATCGGTAGAACGGATGTCACGCCGAGCCAAGTGAAAACTTCCACTTTATGTGTTCACCTCGGGAATTCATTGAGCAAGTATTTATCTGTCATGTAGAAAGCATCCTTAAGCCCTGTAACTTACCTGCGTGTTCAGGGTTTTATTTTATGGGATTCCATAGCATTTACCCATTGCTAATGACATGTGTAAGATGCAGAAGCTAAGTGTGTTAGAGACACGGAGAGAAGCAAAACGCACCCTCCCAAACCTTTCGGAAAGGCATTATAAAAATCTGAACTGGAGAGGATCCCTTGTGCGTGGGCGTGTGTGTCACATGCGCACGCATGCGTGAATTGAAAAAGTGGCTGATGACTTAAGACACCCTCATTTTATTCCTTCCTTTTTGACCTGAGTTTTCTGTGCCACGGAGTGGGTACGAGGGGCAGCCGCCCTGTGAGATCTGGTTCCCGTGCCTCGTTACCTCACATTGTGTATGTTCGTCTGCTCATCGGTTTGTGGCAGACGAGAGCGATCAGTTTCTCTCATATTTGAGGAAATTTCCTTTTTTAGAAATGACGATCACTGTTCTTACGATTCGATCCCACGTGCAGGGGTACACAGATCTCCCCAGAGCGGTAAAGGCGTCGTGCGGGGTCAGAGACATGGGCTTTCCATCCCATCTGGGTGGGCTTCCCTCGTCCGACAGAATCCTCAAACTGCAGGAGCTCAGGGGCGTGTGGGGTGGGCTGTCTGCCTAACGAGGAGCCTGCAGAGCTGGCTGAAGGCCTGTGGGGGTCTGGCTTCCGCACGCTGACCGTCTGCCCTCGGCCCCCTTGCAGGCTACCTCAACGTGCTCTCCAACAGCCGTTGGCGGGAGCGCTGGTGCCGAGTCAAGGATAACAAGCTCATCTTCCACAAGGATAGGACCGATCTCAAGACCCACATCGTTTCTATTCCTCTGCGCGGCTGTGACGTGATCCCGGGCTTGGACTCCAAACACCCCCTGACCTTCCGACTGCTTCGCAACGGACAGGAGGTGGCCGTGCTGGAGGTAAGGTGCCGGCCACGGCCACGTTCCAGGATCCTTCCCTGGGGCACCGTGGCTTCTGGCCGTGTCCCTCACGCCCACGGTGGTGGCCTCTGCCGGCCTTTTCTGTCGCCTCCTCCCAAGGCCGGTTTCCGTTCTTACTTGGCGGTACAGGCCGCCCTGCACCCGCCCACCACCCGTCTTCCTTTCCTCCGCATGCCTTTGCGTGGAGATGAGCTACGCGACTCCATACAGCGCACTGCTTTCTAAAGGTGGCAGAAAAATAACTCATTTTGCCCCTATGGCCCACCTGCGAATCAATGGTGTTTGTTTAATTTGCCTTTTGGAATGTTCTTTACAGACGAAATAGGTGTTTTTAGATAACCCTATAGACCGTGGCTCATGTGCCAATCCCATGGAAACCAAAAGAACACCTTTAATTCTGAAGCGCCCTCAGCTTTGTGTGCATCTGTTACGTGTCTGCCTGCTTTTCTGGAACAAATTCTTCACTGAAGCAGAAAAGCAATTGAACCTGGTTTCTTAGCTATCTGCTGAAAACTGCCAATTTTACTTTCCACCTATTACACAATTTATTTTCTGCTCACTATGAATTCAGACCTCCTTTTCTTTATCTTTTTGTTCATTTACATTATCATGACTAAGACGCAGACTCGCGTGCACACGCAGCTGTGCACAAGCACCAGGGCTGTGAACTTCCAGAGTTCGCAGACGTGGGCTGTGTCGGTGGCAGAAACAAGGCTGCGTTAGATTTGCTGCACAGGCTCGGGTGCACTCCATTACTCAGGGATAGACCCAGAGTCCAAACGACCGTAGTGCTAGATGGATGGAGAGCGAGCCCGGGGCTTGGGGCCAAGGTCGAGGTGGCCCGTGAGGCCGTCTAGAAGGTCTTGATAGGAGATAGGAGTTTGTTTCGGAGACTCTTTTGACAGAAACGACTATTTCTCGCGGGGGCGGGAAAAGACTAACACTGTTCTTCGTCCCACGGGCTGGTAACCTGTGAGGCTGGCCAGGATGGAAGGTGGCTGGCTGTGGACTCGCGGTCCTGGGACCGCCTGGGGTCCACACCCCTGGGCCCCCGTCCTCATTCTGCCCCCACTGGGATCACACCACGTCTTTTTCTCTCCCTGGGCTTTTTGATTCACCTATAAAATGTGAGTGTTGGGCCAGAGTCTGTACTTAGTAAGATTTATGCAGGCTGAAAACTAGGGTGGGTGCAGGGGGGACAGCTAAAAACACAAAGGAGGAAACTGTGGCCTTGATGTGAAACAGGGCAGGTCTCCTGGGCCAGCTTCGGCAGCAGCCCTGGGATGGGGCGCAGTGGGGGAGGTCTGAGTTGGCGCATGCCTGCTCCCGGAAGGGAGAGAGGCAGACCTGGGGGCGGCCTGGTGAGGAAGGCACCCTTGTGCACCTGCAGCCCGCAGGTGGGAAGGGCCCCCAGTCCTTGTGAGGGAGGGCAGCCCCTTCCTCCACGTCCCGGTCATCAATCACACACACGCACGCGCGCGCGCGCAGGGCCACACGGCACCCAACACACACAGGCAGCCTGCATCGCTCAGTCATGAAATGCAGTGCACCAGCCAGGAAATGTAATCTGTATGTTTTCTAAGGTCATTTTAACTTTTACTTTGAGATAATTTCAGGAAAGTCATGATAATATCAGAAATAATTTCCATGCACTCTCCATCCATAACCCCCGATAATGATATTTTCCTGTGTGTGGGGTCTCCTGCGCTCCCCCCTCCCCCATTCCTCTCCTTCTGTGTGAAGTTTCTCAGAACCTTTTACAGCTGTGTTGCCCCTTTATTCCCTCAGTACTTTATTGCGAATTTGCTAAAAGCAAAAGCATTCCCTTACCAAAACCAGAATATAATTATCAAAATCAGGAAATTAACGTTTACACACCCCTGTAATCTGATCCATAGATCTTAATCGGCTTTTCCGAGCTGGACAGTGTCCCTTGCAGGCAGGAGGAAACCCCAGACTGTGTGTCGCCTCAGCCACTGTCTCTTTCTCTGGCTGGCTGGCCTCATGGTGTGGAGACATGTGGAGGGTACAGACCAGTTACTGCATAGAGGCCGCTCAGTCTGGGCGCATCTGCTGTTTCCCTGCTGTTGGGCTCCAGGTGGGCTCCCCAGCCGGAGCCCGTGGTGGGTGTCACAGCGCGTCCCGCCGGGAGTCGCACCTGTCACCCCCCCCAACAGCCAATAGTGTCCACTTTTCTCCCTTGGGCAGGGTGTCTGCGCGGTTTCCCCACCGCACACTTACTGGGCTTTCCCTTTGTCTTTAAAAGCATCATATGGGAAGGTATGTTGAGGCCATCTATGTAAATACCCCGTCGTCACTCACTTCTGCGCCTGCTAACGTTAGCGTGCATTGATGACGCTTACCTGAAACAGTCGTTATAATGACAGGTGCTAAATAGGGACTTTGAAACTCCATCATTCCTTCTATACACATTAGTTCACACCTACTGTAAGGAAGGTTTCCCGCTCCTCCCATTTAATTATTAATCCCTTTATGTATGTGTATCAGGGGGGATTCAGAGAATATTGTTTTAATCAGTGATTATATGCTTTATTGTCATGATTTACTTTGGTGGAATCATCCCAGATTTGGTCAGCAGAAGGCCCTTCGAACTCACCCCTGCGGCCTTTGCTATGTCCTGGGATAAGACACCACGGGCCCCGCCATTCTTTGATAAGATGTTCTGGGCTCATCTTGTACCTTTCCTTGCCCCTCAGCCATTTCTCCAGAGAGCTCTTAGTGGGTTCCTCCAGGTGGGACTCAGAAATAGGTGTGTGTGTGTGTGTGTGTGTGTGTATTTGTGCACATGTGTGTTATGTACATGTATGTATTTGTAAACATACATATACACATGTATGTGCATTCACACATCCACATCCATATCTATTTCTGTATTAAGAACCATGAGATCATAACCAATAACCTCTAATTTCAGTTCAACATCATAGGGTTTTTTTTCCACAAGGCTATGAGAAAATTCTATAAACTATGAAGAAAATAATTAATGAGCTCTAGTGTAATTGTATCAATCCCGTGTTATATAGTGTGTTAAAATACTTTTAAAAATGCTTAAGTAGGGTAGTAACAGACACATCAGTATAGATTGAGTCACAGATACATCGTGGCTACAGAGTTTGTTTTGGGGAAGGACAGAAAGACCAGTGAAGATAACACATTTTTGATTTTTATTTACCCAAGTATTCAAATGAATTCATTTTCATTCCATGAACATTGGCTACATTCTCCCTCTGCAAGGCTCATGACTGGAGTCCCTGCAGCTTGTCCTGGGGCCTCACTCAGTACTGGCTAGGAGGGATTTGTTACGAGCCCATTGTATGAGCCACATGAAAAATAGTTTCATGTTAACGGCCCTGGGAATATTTACAATTACATGTATTCTGATCTCTGTTCAGCCTGTCAAGCCTGTAAATATAAAACCTCATTTTCTTTACGTCTTTGAGCTAAACTTAATAGATCTTTCTGGGACACCTGGGCAGCTCAGTCGATTAAGCATCTGCCTTCAGCTCAGGTCATGATCCCAGGGTCCTGGGATCGAGTGAGTCCCTTGTCGGGCTCCCTGCTCAGTGGGGAGCCTGCTTCTCCCTCTCCCTCTACTGCTCCCCCTGCTTGTGCTCTCTCTCTCTCTCTCTCTGACAAATAAATAAATAAAATCTTAAAAAATAGATCTTTCTTTATATTGAAAATTAGTAATTTTAATGAAAATATTTATTTTTTCTTTCACATTCCATTAACTCATGCACTTAATAGCTCAACGTCCCCTAAACTTTAAACATCATATTCTGATGAATCAAATGTTTTGAATACCATTATAAATGTAAAACTTCTGATTTTCTAAATCATGTCACAAGGGTGACTTAGAAATTTAATGAACAGGATCTTAAAGCTATATTTCAGACTGGCACATTCAGCAGATCAAATTTGGGGTGGGGACCATTTCAAAGATCTTAAAAATGTCATGCATAAAGCAGCTAGGGGCTATAAAGCATGATTGCGCTTACGTAAACACAGAAGATAGGAAAGAAAGTCGTTGTACCATCTAATCAGGGGAATTAAGATTGCCATTTCAGGCCAGGTTAGGAGGCCCCAACAAGGGCTACAGGGTGGGGGACAGAGCTTGGAGCCCACAGAGGTGTGGGTCCCATGGGGTTTCCAGGTCAGGCCAGGCCCAGGTTGGAGGGGCTCCTCCTTCTGGTCAGATTTTGTTGCCAAGTTAATGACGCTTTCTAGGCAACTTCCTCCAACTGAGATTTAACTCAACTCCCTGCAGCAATTCCTGCACCTCACACCTGCTGCCTTTCCCCAAAGTAATCGGACGGCACTGTAGGACTCAGATTTTGTTTCCTTGGGTGGAAATCATGCTGTAACTTCCTGCATCGAGACTTGGTGTGCACGCAGTATGAGTGCATCGCTCAGGCTGGGACGGCGTCTCCACGCCTCTTTATGCCCCTCATGTGCTTTTGGTCGCATTGGCTTTGTGCTACACAGTGTCTGTGCAGACGTGCGGGAATATGAGACCCCTTACCATCACTTAAGTGCACGCACGCTTCTCCCTTCTCCTCCCCAGGCCTCCTCTTCTGAGGACATGGGCAGATGGATTGGGATTTTGCTGGCCGAGACGGGGTCCTCCACAGACCCCGGGGCCCTGCACTACGACTACATTGACGTGGAGACGTCTGCGAACGTCATCCAGACGGCCAAACAAACCTTCTGGTAAGATCCGTGTGAAGTGGCCCTGAAGCCAAACAATGCTCTTCTTTCACTAATTCTTTTAACTTTTTGTGTGCATAGACTCGGGGGGAAAAACAACTAAAGACTCTCCCTTTTGTATTATGTTGATGCAAACTCTGCTGAAATATTTGTCATTTCCTCCCTCTGTGTTTTCTATTGGAGCAGGGGTGGCGAACTTTTTCTGTAAAGTGCAAGACAGTAAGTATTTTTGGCTTTGGGGGCCAAATGTTTCCTGTTGAAGCTGCTCACTCTGCCATCACAGCCACAGACCGTGGGTAAGGGAACCCGTGTGCTGTGTTCCGATAAAACTATTTGCAAAAACACGCAGCAGACTGGATGGGTCCCATGGCCTTAGATCGCTGACCCCTGTATTAAGGGGACAATTCTATGCAACAAATGATTTACATCTGCTGTAAGGAGGGCTGAATTTTCAAGGTCATCGGTCATGTACTTTTAAAACTTAAGTTGTGGTTTTATTTTCTTTAAAAGGCTTATTTGTATGAAAACATTGTTTTGAACCATATTTCTGTAACATAATGACAACGAAGATAATGATAGTAGCAATTCTCAAGGTTAGGTCCACAGACCCTGAGGGCATTTGAGATTCACGCAGCCCCAAAGGCCAGAACTGGTTTCATAATAGTACTGGTCTGTAAGGCCTTTGCCCTGGGGCTGTGAGGGGAGGGGCGCTGGATGAGGAGGCGGGAACTCGGGCTCTGGTCCTGCGTGGTATTCACTAAGTGGAAAGTCTGGACAAGGGATCTATAACCTCTCAGTGCCTGAGCTCCCTTTGTAGAGACCAGGCTAGCGGAGGCAGTATCTGGGGCAACATCTGGAGCTTCCTCTGGTCTCCTGTCTACAATCCCTGGACCCCTGCTTCTATTACCCTCTCTACCCTCATCGGTAGAGAGTCTGCATTTGAAGCCAAGGACAGGCGCCTGGGAACAAAGCAGGTGATTGAGTTGTATCGTCTGCCTGTGATGATGAACATACCAGCAGCTCTGTGATGGGGAGACCCAGTATCCACAGCGACACTGACCTGTTTACCATGAGCTCCACCATCTAGTTTGAACACGAGCGTGGTGTGGCGGGGGGAGTTCGAGCAGTCTCCGTGTGTCTCTCGAGTGGTGCTATAGAAGGAACATTTAGTGCTTGGCTGGGATGCTCTGGGGCGAGTAGAGGCAACATGAGCTCCTAGGAGGGATCGAGCCCCATGTTATGCGTAGCTCAGGTGAATAGCCTTGACAACATGGATTAATTTCTGTATGACTCTTTCAGAAAATCTCCAGTGACAGTAGAGGTTTCCTAAAGTCTAGACTCCCTGTACTTCTTACAGACTGTCCTTTGTGTCAAATCAGGGTGACATAGTCAAGTACTGACTCTTCTGTTCCTATTCATTATTTTTCCATAAACACCCTCTATCCCGTCGGCCATGTGCACGTGGATTACAGTGAACCCCCTAATCTTTTAGCACACACAGTAAACGAGCACATTTAATCAAGTGGCTTTTTAAGAAATGTAATATCCATAAACCGGGTTTTGCAAAATCTCCACATCTAGAGCAACATGAAAAGAAAGGAGTTTGTGGTTTTTAACTGCTCCTTTGGAACTTTATTAGATCATGGAGCCCCTCCTCATGCATGTGTGCCTTCAGCTGTAATCAGCCAACTAATAACCACACATTAGAGCAGCCCGAATAACAGGATTTCCCCTAGAACAAAACTCAGCCTCCGCTTTCCAGATGAGTATTAATCTAAACCAAATGTGGGAAGGTCCTGGTTTTGAGAAAGGAGCGTAGATTGCAGTATTGAAAAATTATTTATTAAAAATACGTGCGTAAGGAGTTTTCGGCCACGGGAATTTTTGCTACTAATTAAAATCTTTATAAATGTTAGTTAGCAATAAAGGTTATTTTTGTTTTCCAGTTCTCTAGCTAAACGTATATAAAACAAGAGAAGAGATTTAACAAGCAAATGATGTTCAAAATATAAAATATGGCAGCTTGCCAGTGTAATAAATGTCCTGAGATTAAATTAATTTTTGCTTTTATGCAGATTGGCAGCTGGTTAATGAATCCTTTCAAGGTCGTCAGGGGGAAGTGTCTGTGTGCTGGATATGTCTGAGGGGGGAGACGACAGTGGTGTATTTTGGGAAGAAGGCAGTAAAAGAAGAAATAGTCATTTAAATTCTCCTGGGAGAAGTGTATTTAGGAATATCAGTAACGGTAAACACTGGAATCTATTTTCCCAAGACCTAGCCTATTTTTAAATGAGATGCATAGATTATCTGACACAAGGAAACATTCTGAATTTTTTTTCCTAAAACTGATCTCAAGTGGCCCGTGAGCAGGCTATAGTCATAGTGGTGGAGCTAAAAGGCCATGGATCAGTGTGGGCAGAGAGAGGGCAGCGGACAGACCAGAAGGGACCCGTCAACCTGAGTTGCCTTCTCACAGGAACCCCTTAAAATGGGCATGAACCTGAAGGGTGTTGTGCTGGGTGAATGAGGCAGGAACAAGGGCACGCGTTCTGTCTGATGCACTCCTGTGGCCAATCCACAGAGGCAGGAGGCAGGTGTGGGCAGGTGCCCGGGGCGGGACGGGAGGTGGGGAAGCGCTGGGGGTGGAGGGCCGTGCCAGCCACCCAGCCGCATGGATGCACTTACTGCCCCAGAACCGCACACTTGGCCGTGGTAAGTTGGTAGAACTTACATTGTATTTTCACACAGTACGAGTACTTCCTCTGAGGGGCTTACGTTTTTAACGAGTGGCGTGGGCTCTCTCACTGCATTTCCACTTTTATATGTGTTTAAAGACTCTGTTGCACCCAGGCAGAGGACGGGGGCCTGGTCCGCAGCCAGGGCTCCACGGGTGACCCCTGTGTTGGGGTGTGGGGCCCTCCCTGGAAGGGCCAGGCCTCTTCCAGCTGGGGCACCCGTTCGTCTGTGGCTTTGCTCATTCCCACGCCCCGTGACACGCAGCACCCTGCTGGTGTCCGCTCTGAGCTCTGTCCTGCCCCCGGTGGACCCAGCTCCGTCCTGGCATCCCTGCCCAGTGTGCATGGTGCCACACGGCAAGCATGTGATGGTCTCTGCTGCTGGGCTCCAGACGCCCGGTCACTGACCGCTGGGCGGGGTGTGCAGCAGCCATGTGCACATGGTGCCTCACCCCCAAAACCCCTCAAACGAGACGTTTACATTAGAAAAAAATATATATTTTAAGACAAAAAATCCTCTGTTGTGGCAGAAGACTTATGTGATTAAATTTTTCTCTTTCCTTCTTGCATGTTCCTTTTCTACACATTCCCTTTTCCTATACATAATTATCTATATTGTGAGTACGGAATAATCCTCTAAGTTTTTGTCCGTTGTGAACACATGAAAGAAGGCGGGACTGCCGTGCCCGCCTTCGCCCAGCAGAGGGCGCGCCTGCACTCGGAACCGCGGGGAGAGGCCCCCTGGACGGCAGTTTCCTCTGCTTCTCCGGGGAACCAGGGGCTGGCCTCGCTGGGAGACCTCCGCATTCCCTGTCCTGCCCTCACCAGTTTTATTTCCTCCCATTTTTATGCAGCTAGTTATCACAGAAATGTAAGATCCTGCAAAGAAACAATTTTTTTAAAAATACCATTTTGGGGGGAAGGCACCTGGGTGGCTCAGTTGGTTAAGCATCCAACTCTTGACTGAAGCTCAGGTCTTGATCTCAGGGTGGTGTCTGAGCCCTGCATTGGGCTCCACACTGGGTGTGGAGCCTACATTAAAAAAAAAAAAAGTTTATATAATTCCAGACTATTTTAGTTTAGCTATTTACTTCTTTATTTTAGTGTAGAAGAAGTGCTCTCTGAGTTCTCTCTTCCCTGGGCGCTTACATCTCCCACTTCTAACAAACGTAACTTCACGAGTCAGCCGTTGGCACGTCCTTGCATCCAGCCCACATTGGCCAAGAGCCTCTTGGCCCGACACTTAAGGTCCAGAATGAGCAAGAGTGGCCACGGCCGTGCTGTCCTGAGGCTGACGTTTTGGGGGACGAGCTAGTCAGACGCCGCGTCAGGTGGCGATGAGCAGTACACGCACAAGGAACAGGACAGCCAGGTGGCGCTTCGTGTCCAGCACGCATCACCACCGTCCTTGCCACAGTCCTGCAGGGCGGCTGCTCTCGGCACCGTCCTCGGCACTGTCACCGGACACCCCGCTTCTGCCGGGGTGCCGGCTGCTACTTTGTCCCCCGTCACCTCCGGCCGGGCCCTGAGCGTCCAGCTGGACTCCCGGAAGGCTCTGGATTGCTTGGGGGCGTCTAACCCACTTCTTCTCCCGCAGTTTCATGAACAGGCGTGGCATCTCTGCCAACCCGTACCTGGGGAGCACCACCAATGGCTACGCGCACCCCAGCGGCACGGCGCTGCATTATGATGACGTCCCGTGCATTAACGGCTCGGTGAGTGCGCCCTTCTTACGCCGGTCCGGGCTTGGGTGCGTTAGACGCGGGGCGGTGGGAGCCTGCCCGTAACCTGGGACCCCTGACTTCAGGCCGGGAGCCCGAGGGCTTTCTGCCATGCTCTGGGGCAGGATGAAACCTGCACGCCCTCCCTCCTGCACTTGGTTTTGACCAGTTGTTCATCTGCATCTGCAGAAGTAGGGAACCGGATGCCAGGACCCTGACTGTCATTCAGCGTCCTGGTCATCACCTAGGTATCTCTGCATGGCCCAAAATACGAGTGAAGGATAGCACATTAGGGTCTGTAACTTGGACACATCCAAAGAGAGCACATAGAGGTTATCGCCCAGCAGTTAGTGCTTGGAGAAGAGCTCAGAGAACTCACATCACAAAGGGAGTGTTGCCACGGCCAAGGCCATACTGCACGCTCCCCGGGCCAGGCCCCATGCCAGCCCTGGGCCACCAGGCATAAAGCCCACCAAGTCCGCAGGCTCGTGGAGAGGCTCTTGAGAAACCAGCCTACCATTGGTCCCCTGGTATTGGGTGGCTTTAAAGTGGGCATCTGTCAAGATCTATTTCAAAGGTTGGCATAGGATATGTTGATTGTTGGTTTTTTCCAAACTTGAAAAGTGTGTTAGATCTTTTTCTTGCTGTTTTGCTCACCCATTCTTTTCTCAGTACTTTGAGGGATGTCCCCAATCAGCTCTCTGTTTCCCATGGTCATAAAATCCACACCTGCCTGAGGCAGGAACCGGGAGACCACAGACTTGTCGAAGGAAGTGTGGGGGTCAAGCAAGGACTCCCCGGGCTCAGAAATAGAAGCAGGCTGAAGAGAAGGTTTCTGTGATCTGGGTCAGAGGTAGCCAGCCAGTTGCCCCGCGCCGAGTGTCATGTGTCCTCGGGGTTCTGGACATCTTGTCATGGGCGCTCTTCCTTCCACCCCCCGGGGCCTGCCCTGGGGTTCCCGCAGGGTTTGGTCTGCAGGCTCCTTACTGGATTGCAGAAGGGGGTTTCTCCTCATCACACAGCCCCTCTTCCCTGCCTGCCTCATCCCTGCCTGCTCATCCTCTCCCTCCTTCCCGGCTCTCTGCACGTCCCCGGGCACCTGGGCTCTCGACTGGGGATAATGGCCTTCCAGTCCAGCGGGGCGGGGGGGGGGGGGGGGAGGGGCGGAGGGGAGGAAGGGCAGAGCGGGGACCAGGCCTGGCAGGCTCACATGGACATTAGGGCCCGTGCTAGGACGTGGGTGAGGGGTCGGAGCAGAGCCGCTGCGCAACCCCACCCTGGCCACAAGTCCCTCAGATGGTTTCCTGTCTGAGGCTGGGGTGAGCGGGGCTGGGGTGGGCGATGAGTCGTGCCGCAGTGAGGAAACGTGAGCTCCTGGCCCCTGTCCTCACCACCACCGGGGTCTCCAGAGTTGGAAGGGCTCCTGGTGCCCACTGTAGCCCCAGCCCTCCTCCCCTGAGCCCCCCCACTTAGGGAAGGCCGCATGGTGACCTCCGTGAGAGCAGGATCTCGAGCGGTCTCTGTGCATCTTCCTGGGCATGAGCCGCGTCCAGGGTGGTCCCTGGCTTCCGTTGGGTCCGGGCAACCACAGCTCCTCTTGGGCAGCCGTTGCCCTCGCTGTAGGCCCAGCCAGCAAACTCATTCTCACGGAGCGCTCTGCCGCTCTGGGCCCTCGGCCTCTGCCACCAGCCGTGCTGGACAGACAACACACAAGCCTCTCTCTGGCCCTTCCTGCCCGAAGGCCCCTTCGTGCCCCTTTTCCTGAGAGAATTTTCTCCCTTCTTCCTTAGCCTTCGACACGGAAGCCACAGGGCGGGCTGAGCACCTGGGCAAGCCCCAGGCCCACACGAGCACTACTCCACCCACCCACCCATGCCCTAGGTTTGGGTCACGCAGGTTGAGGCCATCCCCAGGAATGAGCTTTCTTTAGCGCACCCACAGTGTCCTCTGTCTCAGAGACAAACCCCCCCCCATCCTGGAAGGACTTTGCACTTAGCAGTTGTTAGCGATTGTTTCTGCGCATGGATGGTGGGGTCGAAAACGCCAGGTCCTGGGCACAGTGTCTGTGGCTCGCTGGCTTAGTGAGGGCTTCCCTGAAGCCCAGGCCTGTCTTCCTGCTGTGCCCCAGCACACCGGGCTCCATTACCAGGCAGTCCCTCCTTTGCAAGTCCTCCTTTTCTCGGTGTTACGAAGTTCCTACTTTCTGAGCCCAAACCTGACATTCCAGCAGTGTATCGACTTCAGTCACCCTTGCCCCCAGCCTCCTCCTGATGCCAGCACCAGATCGAAGTGAGTCTCCAAAAGGATCTCCTGCCATGCTTTTAATCGAGAAACCTCTGTGGAGTCTCTGTTTTCTGAGTGTTCCATGTGACTTGATCCTCTGGTTTTGGGGAGGGGATTGTCCATCTCGAGCCTTGAAATCACCCTGGACAGCCATGTGAGGGTCATCCTCATGGGGCTGTCCCGTCCGGGCTTGTGCGTGTGGGCCGCTGTGTTTAGATGGTAGGAGGGTCCCCATGTCACAAAAATAGACACCTCTAAGGGGATGCAAAGGGACAGAAGTGCCCCTCCCATGAGATTTCAGACTGTTCCTATTTTTGTAACAAAAGGCTGTAATTACAGTCTGGCAGAAGGAGACGCGGCCGGAAGGATATAAAAATAGGATAAAATAAGCATAACATAGGAATTAATATTTCTCTCTTTTTTTGTAAATGCAAAGCAATTTATAAAGACCTTTCAAATAGAAAGGGCTCTGGCTGTGGTTGTGACTTTAGGTTTTCATTTACGCTTTAAAGTCCATGCTCCAAAGTGGCCTGTAGCTATTCTAGTCCTTTGTAAAAAGGTTTCCTGCTAAGACAACGCCATTGTATCAGTTATATGCCGAAACATCCTCTTTTCTCTGATGATTGCATTTCTTTCTTTCAACCGACTGTGTTTGGGTCGCTGTGTTTTCTTCAGGCATCAGAGCGTGGCCCCTGGGTGCAGGCTGATAGTCACCCCATGCCACCCAAGTCCCCTATGCCTGCATGACGGACGGGGAGGCTCAGGAGGTGCTTTCTCCCCTGGGGGAGCCTGCAGCTGGGAGGCAACGCCCTGTGGGGTTAGGAGCCCCGCTCTGCTTCAGTTTCCCCATGCCTCTTGAGATTCCCAGGGGAATTATATGGGTCAACAACTGTGAAGCGCCTCAAACAATGTCCAGAGTGTAGTCACAACTATAAACGAAGTGCTTTGCTGGGATGGGATGGCAAGGTGCTTTCTGGGGACAGCCAGAGCTCTGGGTTTTGGGGGCCCCCGGGCTGGCAGGCCTCTTCTTATGTCATGTGGCTTCTGCTCTCTGGATTAGGACTTCCAAACTCTGGTACCTTAAGGAAAGAAATGTCAAATCAGTTCTTTTTTTTTTTTTTTTTTTTCTGCCTTAAAAATAAAGTGGAACAAAACAAAAATTTCCTAAGCCGGTTACCCTGGGAATGATTTCAGGAAAAAAGAAAGCTTTGCTGAAGTCTCTCCAAGTGGAACCGTTGTCCACCTACTTGTTGTGTGTGTGTATTTGTGTGTGTTTTATCAGTACCAGTGTGGGGTACATGCACGTGTTTTGGGGGTACTAATAATGTCTCAATATGCTAAAATCTCTGCTCTGCTTTCTGTGGCCATGAGCACTAACGACGAAGCTGTGTGTTGCAGTGGGACCCCGAAGACCGCCCTCCTGCTTCCTGTGCCAGGGGCCTGGGAGAAGAGGTGCTTTATGAGCACGCGGTCCTGTACGATAACTTGCCGTCTCCGAAAATCTTTGCGCGCTACCCGCCTGCTGACAGAAAGGCTTCTAGGCTGTCTCCGGACAAACTGTCCTGTAACCATTACAAATACCCTCCCTCCTGCGGTCTGCCTCCCACTAACCCCTCTTCTCTGGGGAGGGCGCCTCTCGGGCTCAGCTCTCAGGTACAGCATCTCCTTCCGTCCTGTTCTAGAATTGTCGGAATCACGGTCCTCCCACGGGGGGGTAGTCACCAGCCCGTAGCAGACGAGACTCATCAAGGGTGCGGTGGGATTTTTGCCTCAACCAGAAGAGCATTTGCAAATGCAGTCAGCGTTGGGCTACCCAGGAGCTTATGAAGCTCCCCTAACTAGTTCGTGGCTGAAGCACTGTCTTTCTTGGCCTAAATCTGGCTCTCTTTCTATTCTTGGAAAATTCCCCAGTGAATTTGGTGCGTTACGTTGACTAAAGCCAAAGATTAAAAAAAAAAAAAAAAAAAAAAAGGAACAATAAAACTTTACGGAAGATTCTTGCACCGCAAGCTTTTTTAATGTTTCTGTCACAGGTGTGCGAGGAACGCTGGACTCCAGGTAGTAATGGCTTTCGGTCTTCACACGTTAAGCAGGATTTTCAGGGTAGTACAGGGTTTTTCTGTAACGAGTCTGAAAGTGGAATGCCTAAAACCGAGTACACGGGAATGAGGATTTTGGATTATGATTGAATGATAAACAACCTTGGGGTTGAACTGCCATCTGCTCTGCACCCCACAGTTATGGCGAACAATGACGTTTCAGTGTAAATGTTGATCTTGTGTGTTCACGCACTTTCCACTGAAGAACGTTGTGTGCTTGGCGCACAAATCCAAGCGCCACAGCATGAGAATACTCTGCGAACATAAAGCAGATGGGTACACTTTAAATTATACTCTTTTCCCTCCATTTCTTGGGTAATTTTAGGAAACACTGAGCGCCTGGTAGGGTCTTAGCGTTTCGCATAGTGGTGGCTTACGGCAGCTCCCCCCAATGCATGGACTCCCCCCAACCCATGGACTCCATCAGACCACAGCACAGGATTTGTTTCTCATTTTTAACCACAGCTGCTCAGATCTCTGAAGATTCACTAAGTGAACACTTAATCTGTCTACGTACTTACTTTTTTGTTGGCATTAAGGTTCTCTTAGGTAGAAATCATGGAACGAAATACGCCACCTCATGCTTGGATTGTCCCCAGATTAGTTTGGAATGATCCAATATGTTGTTTCTATGTGCTTGTTTTTATTCATTTTTACTATTTTAAGTAGGAACACGTTTGTAAGGTGAGTCATTGTACCTTTAGTTTTCCTGTGCTCTATTTGGTCATTCTGATAGGGCACCTGTTGTTTAATGGAGACACCTTTCAAATATTGAGCACCTACAGTATGCCACACCTGTCTGGCGTGTCACCTGACCTTTTTAGGAATGCTCTGGGGAGGATTCAGTATCTTTATTTATTTGTTTGTTTTTTTAATGAGCAAATGGAAGCTCAGAGAGTTTTAAGGACTTGCTCAGCATGTCCCAACTCACAGAGCCAGAATCTGAATGCAGGTCTGGCTCCCCAGAGCGAGGCCCACAGCAACAGCAGCCATCAGCATTTGCCACCAAGCCCGATTGATGGCATAGGGCTATAGGGTACACACGTATCACTTAAGCAAAACACAGCATTTGTCGGCTTGCCGCAAAGGGGCAGACGTGCTATTGCATGTGTTTTAAGAACCTGTGGGTACTTCAAACCCCATTCATACTGGTCCTCTGTTCTCCCCTTGCTTCCATCCTCTGACCCGTCAGGGAATCAGAAGGTAGTCGTCTGTCCCGTGAGGACATCAGTCAGCTGCAGAGCTGCTCAGCCATGCCGCTCCCCTAAAGAGCATCCCCTGGAAAGAAAAGCTGTTCATTTTTAGAAACACAGACTTTTACTAATCTCAACCAAATGCTCTTGGATACCCAACTGTCTGTGCCAATTTCTTGGTGAGCATTTATGATCTCCCAGTGGAAATCTATATCACTTTTATTGCATCCCAACTGGAGACGTCCAAGTTCCGCCCACCTTGGACCTCAGTGCTAGACCGGCCTAGCCCGTACCGGAAAAGCACGGCAGCTCAGTGTTTGGAAACCAGCCTGGTTTCCTCCTCCCTTCATTTTTTCTGTGTGTGCTAGGTTATGTGAAAGACTTAGGGACTGAGACAATTTACTGAAAAAAAGAAAGGTTTTTTTTTATTATTATTATTGTTTGGTTTTTAATTTTCTTACGTGTTTATTTCAACAGTTGAAGGGTAAAAAGCCCCCAGTAGCCTCCAATGGGGTTCCGGGAAAAGGAAAGACTCTGAGCAGCCAGCAAAAAAAGGTGGATTCGGCAGCCGGCGTGAAGCGAACATCTTCAAGTAAGTTTATCGTTCAGCTTCTTGGCTCTAGTTTCAGGCGTGGTTTGCAGAGGTGAGGCCGTCAGAGGGGACTCTTCATCGTCACCCTCCCTCCTTGCCGGATTGAAGAAGGGTGACGTTTTTTAACCCAGCTTTTATGACCATTGTATAAAGCTGCCTGTTAGTGTAGAAGTGGCTACAAGTGCTTCAGGAGGAGGCGGTCGTGGGTGCAGGGGGCCAGGGGCTTCGGGTCAGGAGACCTCGGCTCGTGTCCCTGATCTGTTGGTGACTTAGTGACTTCTGTTGAGCCGTGTAAACGCTCTAAGCTCAGCTCCCCGTGTGGGAGGTATAGACAAGTGGCCGCTGTGGTTTCTGGGACTGGAGGAATTGAGGCGCCACATGGGCCTCCCAAGCACAAGAGCAGCATAAGGATCGATGAGGGGCGCGCGTTTCTGCCGCAGCTTGTGGTCTGCGAGCTGATATGGACAGGCTCCCGTTCCTTTCTCCAGCCGCGTGAGCAGGCAGGTATTCGTGCAAGGGCAGAAATCCTCTCTGAGAGACCCAGGTACACCACCACCACCCCCCCCCCCGTGCCTCACAGCTGGCCGGTGACAGAACCGGAGGGACGACCCGGCTTCATGCCCCGAATCTGGCAGGGGGCTGAGCAGAGAAGCAGCAAGACGCAAGTGAGGGGCTCAGCATTAATTGCAGACTGTGTCTTTGCTGAATTCAGCCAGTTGCATTGTAGCCTGGATGGGCTTGACCGCATGGGGACCAAAAGATGTGGCTATGTATAGGTTATTACAGGTTTATTGGGAAAGCATCTCCGATCAGAAAGAAGTGAACAGGTTTTGGACTTCACCTATGGAACATATCCTTACCCTGGCCGCTAATAGCAGTGCTTTGGTTTCAAATTGTTCCTTTTGTTATCCCCACGCTGGGATCCTTTTAACATCATGCTCTGCGTGTGCATTTTCTGTTTGTTTTTAGTGAGGGGAGGTGCACTGGGGACAGAAGATTTTGCACCTGCCTTCATAAACACACGGTTGCATCGCCATCGTGATGGTTTGCGCTGCAGGATTCGGTGACTTCAGCATCTAGGACGGATGCTGGAAGTGGCTGGCCATGGACAGGGCTCTGGGGACTCGGCTGTCCCCGACAGTGATTAGAGCTGTCAGGGACGGTCCACCCTGCCCCAGGCATCACATGGTTTCGTGAGATGGGTTTTAGGTACAAATAGCACGTTTCTTTAAACCTCAAGGTAGGCCTTCCCACTTCTGCTTTATAGAGGGTGAAGCTGAGGCTCAGGGAGATTAGCTGCCGGCCCAGAGCCACAGCTGCCCCCCCGGCCCACGCCTCCACTGGGAACCCTCACCCCACGCTCCTGCCCAGAAGTCTCTGCACGTCCAGTGGGGCAGCACAGGTGCAGGCCAGCGAGAGTGGTGTTGTGCGGTGTGCCGTGGGGCGTGAAGCCGTGGGGGGCGGTGCGTGACGCGCAAGAGGCCCCCGAGGGGTAATCAGGTGCAGGAGGCAGTGGAAGCTCCGAAATCGGTGGGCCTCCATCACGCCTGTGACGTCTTCATCTCTTCAAGGTCTTTTTCCAGAGACGGTCCTTCTTAGTATTATCAAGAGGCCAACATAATTAGAGGAGAGGAGCTTGGGGGGGGGATTTTAAGGTGACATCAGTTAGTGGTGTGACACTGGCCAAATCTCGGGGGGGTTTCCTGGGGAATGGTTTCCTCTTCACTCATTCCTTTTATTTAATGAGCAGCGGAGGCGTCCCCATCTTGTGCTTGTTCCGAGTGCTTTGTAAACACTAAGTTGACCCTGGTTACAGCCCTGAGAATGACCACGTCACAGATGAGGGAACCAAGGCACAGAGAGGCGAGGGGCCTTGCTGCGGGTCACGCGGCCGACGCGGCGAGCTGGGGCTCTGACCCAGCCGGTCGGGCCCGGACTCCGCGAGCTCTCCGTTCTTCACCCGCTCACTCAGTGCATGCCTGCGCGCTTGCTGCAGGCGGGCACCGACCGCGGCGCAGGGGACAGAGCAGAGCTGCCGTCGGGTTGGCCAGAGCCAGACTGCGTGGGTGCCGGGCTCCGGGGTGGCCGTGTTACCGAAGCGTTCTGAAAAATAACAGAGAAAGAGGCGACCCTCGATGTTGGTGAGAGGGTACTCATCCCAGCCCCACTGCCTCAAAGGACAGGGAGTTAAAGGGACGTCCTCATATTCTGTTCTCATTTTCTGAACTGCACTAGGAAATTTGAACTACTCCCCTTTCGACTCTGTTCCAACTGGTCCCATTCTTTTTCTTACTGAGCTAGCGAAATAACCAGATTAGAGTTTCTTTCTCTGCATTGGCTGATTTTAAACAGGCTTTATGAATTACACTGTTATGTGGTTAAACCTAATTTTCTTTTGCTGCTTTTCTCCCCCCTAAGATGCTGACCAGTACAAATATGGCAAGAACCGGGTCGAAGCCGATGCCAAGCGGTTGCAGAGTAAAGAAGAGGAGCTGCTAAAGCGGAAGGAGACGCTGAGGAACAGGCTGGCCCAGCTCCGGAAAGAGAGGAGAGACCTGCGAGCCGCCATCGAAGTGAACGCTGGTACGGGGGGTGAGGGTGGGGGTGCGCTTCCAGCCGCCATGGGCACCTCCTTGGGTTAGCGCCTCGGTTTCCTCCCGGTCTGCCCACGGGCTCTCACCTTAGTAAGACCGCATCTCCCCATGTGGTGCTGCTTATCATTTGGAAGCACTGCGGGTAAGCCGGGGGCAGGTGCTGCAGTCGGGGGACCGTGGAACAGACGAGGAGGCCAGGACCACCGCTCAGCCTGCTCGCTGCTCGTGGAGGCTGGCAGTGCTGGGAGTCGTCCCAGCCTCTGGTGTCAGCGCAGAGACGCTCAGGAGTTTCAGGTCATGTGTCTGATGAAGCAGCTGGGGGGCTGGTTGGCAGGAGGACAGTCCACAGGGACAGTAAGATTCAGGAGCCCGGGTAAGAGGTCTCTGCAGGGCAGAAGGAGCCCTCCGAGCCCCGAGAAGGGACAGTGTCTGAATTCTTGGAAGGGAGCGGGGAAATAGGCCAGGTTAGCAGAGACACTCTCAAAGGGGAAGTCAGACCGAAGGCAGCTGTCAGACAACCGAGTCGGGACCAGAGGGGTGTCTCTGGCTCAGGCTTGTTCTTGCCGGCAGGAGCTGGGGATGTGGTTCCTGGTTCTGGGGATGGACCTGTTTAACATAGTCACCTCAGCTCCACACTGGCTCTTACCCTGGGCAAGACCCACTCTTCAGGCTTGGATTAGGCGGGACTCAGAGGGGCGCAGAGGACCAGGAAGGAGGAGTTCGTGCACCCGCCCCCGAAACGGTCCGTCAGCGCTTTGGTCCTTCCAGACTTTGCGCCTCAGTGACTTTTATGACAAGAAGTGCTTTTGGAGTTTAAAGTCTGGGAGGTTAGGGATAGGCTGAGTGGGTGGGAGATAACCTGTGGGAGGGACGGGACGTGGCGTCCAGCCACCTGCAGGGGGACCAAAGGCTGAGTTAGAGACCCTGGGAGGAGCTTCCAGGCCAACAAGACAGAAGGAGGGTTTCTTCCTTCTTCTGTTTCAAGTTTGCAAGATAGTGAAGATGCAGAGAGGTTAGAGCAGCTCCCGTGCCGTGAGCATTAGAGGCCAGGGCCACACACAGAAGTCGGGCGACCCCTTGGAATCCGTCTTCCTGCATGCGCAGTGGGTACGTGACCTGCCTCCTTGCGTCACTGAAACACATTTCAAATAAAAGGAATACAGTGAGTGTGCTGTGGAGCCCTGGAGGTGCAAGCTTTGTTGTAATCGACTCCACGGGCAGGAGAGAGAGAGGACTCAGGAATAGCGGGTGGGAACATCAGAACAGGAGAAGAGCCAGACTTTTCCGGTCCCCAGCGCCCCTGCAGGCCATCTGGTTAGAGTCCATGTGTTCAGGTGAGTGTACGGAGGTCCGGGCCTAGAATCCTGGGATTTGTGAGAATCGAGGGCTCTGGCTTCCAGGTCAAGTCTTCCAGCTGTGGGAGAGCGGAGTGCTCGGGAAGGGCCTCGGCTCTTGTAAAGAACAGCTGAGCTTGAGTTTTGTAGAAAGGGCCCAGGTCAGGGCCGCTCAAGCCAGAGAGTTCCGCAGCGGTCCTGTGAGGGGGCCCAGCGCGTGTCCTCCATCCCGAGACCCTCACCCACGGCTGCAGCGACAGTGTGTCTGTGGGGTTTCAGGCAGGAAGACCCAGGTGGTTCTGGAAGACAAGCTGAAGAGGCTGGAGGAGGAGTGTAAGCAGAAGGAGGCAGAGCGCGTCAACCTAGAGCTCGAGCTGACGGAGGTCACGGAGAGCCTGAAGAAGGCCCTGGCCGGCGGGGTCACCCTGGGGCTGGCCATCGAGCCCAGGTCGGGGACGTCGAGCCCGCAGGTAGGGTCTGCTCCCTCCCAGCAAACACCCAGCCACATGTCGGCCTCGGATGTGCTCTCGGCTCTGTTCCGAGCGGCCGACACCGTGTTTGCTTCTCTCCGTGCAACGATGGTGGGCACATGAGCCCGTTTCCCTTCCCTCCTCCGATCCACTGATCAGAGGCACAGCTCCTCTTATCCCTTTTGAAACATGTCCTGATTCAATTCCAATTCATTAGCTGGAGACCTTAATCCAATGTAGCCGATTTTATTGAGACGTGCAGCATGTCCTGGGAACCCTGCCAGGGGCCGGGAAACACAGGCAGGAAACACGGCCTCCCCCTCGGATCTCACGGAACAAGGGGGAATCACTTTCCAGCACAAATTACCACCTGCAGGGACTTACCCTTCACTCTCGTTGGACTAACGGTCACTGAGAAGTCACTGCTGTCCCTTGCTCGTGACAATGCCGTCATGGTCCCTGGGGCCTGGGGAGTCACATGTCACCGCTTCCATCTTGCAAACCCGGAGGCAGAGGCCCAGAGAAGTGATGGGAAGCTGCCTAAGCGCAGTAGCCAGCCAGGCAGCCCTGGACGCAGGCTCGGTCTCAGGGGGACCCCGCGGCCCTCCCCCCCACCTCCCTGAAATCCCGCCACCCGCCTTACACCTGTCCCTCTCGGGAACTCCAACCCCCGTCCCTCTCCACCGGCCACCCCTCGACGTTGAGGAGTCGGCCGTCGCCTGGCAGAGCTGGATCTAGCAGCGAGAACCAGACCCTGGAACACAAGCCACAGCCTGTAGGAAAGCAGGCTCGGGGGTCGGATAGGCAGGGTTTGGGGTCACCTCCCTTCCCGAGGCCTCTGCAAAATGGGGATAATGACATTACTGCGTCTGTAACAGCTCCTGGCACGGTGTCTGGCCGAAGACAGTGTGGGTTCATCATACATGTATTTGTTAGCTCGTGTATTCATTCGTTCATTCAACAACTTATGCATACATACCCAGGCCGTGCACCCGCGGGGTGCCGGGCGCTCTCCCGGGCTCAGGACACCCCTATGGAGCCTGTGTTCTGGCAAGGGAGGAGGCTGCAGGTTACGTGTGTGTCCACGTGGATTCCCGCTCTGAGACCAAGGTGCAGGGGGGGTGGGTGTGTCGGGAGCCGGCATGCAAGGGCTGCCCCGCTCTCCCGGCCCCCGGCGTCTCAGCATCCTGCTTGAACAGGACTGGGCACAGTGAGGTCCGCTGTAACTGGAGGTGGGGGTTGTGCTGGAGGTACATGGGCTTGTGGACCCCACGGACCCTGGCCTCCTGCAGGGGTGGCCACACCACCCCCTGGGGTTCTCTCCTGCCATCCCAGGCTCTTGGCCCCATCTTTGCCTTCTGAGCCCTCACCCATTCTTTGGACTCTGGCCCCGCCCCCAGCCCCTGGCAGCCACCCTCCTACCTCCCACCCCTGCCCTTCCAAATTAATCTTTTGGAAACGGTTGTCAGTTCCCACGGTGTCCTGTTCACCTGCTCTGTCCTCCACTGGCTGAGGGACAGGTCACCTCCAAACTACAAATCCCCTACCTCACCCCTGTCTCCGATTTCAGGCATCTCTCCAAGCTAGCTACTTTCTTCACCTGGTGACCCCGCATCACCCGCCAGGGGTCCCCTCTCTCTAGTGGTGACCCTGCATCCCCCCGGGGGTCCCCTCTTTCCAGTGATGACCCCACATCCCCCCGGGGGTCCCCTCTTTCCAGTGATGACCCCGCATCCCCCCGGGGGTCCCCTCTCTCTAGTGGTGACCCCACATCACCCACCAGGGGTCCCCTCTCTCTAGTGGTGACCCCGCATCCCCCCGGGGGTCCCCTCTCTCTAGTGGTGACCCCACATCCCCCCGGGGGTCCCCTCTCTAGGGTGACCCCACATCCCCCCGGGGGTCCCCTCTTTCCAGTGATGACCCCGCATCCCCCCGGGGGTCCCCTCTCTAGGGTGACCCCACATCCCCCCGGGGGTCCCCTCTCTCTAGTGGTGACCC